AAAGAGACTAATAAAAACCCACCTATTAATTCTCGGCTAACTAGCATGCTCTTTTGCAGGATATTATATAACTGAACGGCCTGTTTTCTCAAGTCCGATTCTCATAAATAGCGTCTCACTGGCACTCACAAGACCTCGGTCCCAAAACAGTTTGTTAATAACAGCCATTCACTGAGTTACCAAGTTGGCTCGCAACTTTGCAAAACACTTTTACGTTTGCTTTGTTCTAGACTTTATGGCGCCGTTTAACAGATAGGGTAATGTGTATGATTCATTATTTCATAGGGTGATCAACAGGATAATGATTAGAAAACTTGGTGTACGTATTCAATAAGTATTCTTATTTTTTTTTTATCTACATTGTACTCGATTCAAAAAATATAAAAACACTACAAAATATCCTATATATTTTTTTCATTTTGAAATTCTGCACTTAACCCTCATCTACACAGCTGCTGATCGAAAACGTAATTATAGTGTTATAAGATGGATCAAAATTACGTTTTTAAAAAACGTTATAATAACCAAAAAAATGAGTCCAACTTTATAACATTAATAAATGATGCATTTACAATGTAAATAATTATGTTATAATGACATTTGCAAAAAAATAGCATAATTATGCTTTGCAATATCATACTAATAACGTATTCTTAAAACGTTATTATAACGTAATTTTATAACGTTATAATACTGTTATTTTTAAATGCCACATATGTATCTTCCCTGGGTACGTCACAGTGACGTTTGCCAAAAAATGCTTGTATTGCAGTTTTAAATGTCATAACTTTAGTGTCATTTTATAAAAACTTTATAATAATGGTATTTTATAACAGAAAAATACAGTCTTTTTTATGTGATTTATTTACGTAAATTGTCATAATGCCATAATTACGTTTTTCAGTGATGCATAAAATACGTTGTATACCATTATTAAAAATAAACTGATATGATAGTAATATACGTACTTTATTTAACAATACAATATCGCCATTTACACACAAAATTACATTGTAATATAATTGGGACGGAATACTAAAATACGAGTTGTATACTTGTGTAATTTAAAAAAAAAATCTTAATTTTCCGGCAACAAGCAACAACACTCAGACATATTATCATTTAATTTCCTTTTCCAACAACATTATTCTGAAACACAAACAAAGCAAGAAATGTTACGAAAGTAAGTTCATTTAAATACAATTTGTCCCCGAACCACCAACACATGGAAGAACAAAATTCAAATTTGCCAGCAAGTTCAAAATGGCCGGTCTCTGTCTCGCA